AGGTTGGTGTTTGACACCCACAGGAAGAGGGAACAACCAGACACTTAAGATTTCTCCCAATTTATAAAAAGGTTTAAAAAAAAAAAGTTGCAAGTTTTTAAACTCATAGAAAATTCTTGTTCATCTGAGGATATGAATTGTGAAGAAGGGGTGGGGAACTATTCACAATGTATGAGTCAGGGTCAGGAGCCATGGTAGTGACAAGGCTGTGGGCATCCCACATGGGCCCGGCCCCAGCGTAGCCGACCACAGCTAAGTGTACCTCATCCCGGAGCCTCCAGGCAGCTGCAGAGTTGGCTCCAGGACATGGTTTCTTAATGATTAATCATCTCCAGTTATAGGTGTCTACTCGGCCCCCAGACTCCTCCACACACAGGGAGGAGGCTGAGGCAGTGAGGAGGGCCACCTCCCTGTGCCCCCAGCTCTCCTGGCATGGGAAACAGTACCTGGCAGGCACTACTAGTCCCAGGAGGACAAGCGGGTGTTCATTTCACCAGGGCCTGACGGAAAAACCTTTGGAGAATTTTGCTTTGAAAATGTTTCACAGCTTTGGGAAAGACCCACATACGGTGGATGTGCACAAATGTAAGCTAACCTGAGGTCCCAGGTGTGCCCCGGACTCCTCCTTTCCTCATTCTTCGTGAATCTTCACAACATGGTGTTTTTAATAAGGACATTTTCACAGCTCCTGTAGTATGGATGAATATTTTTAAATTTTGGGTGGGTCTGGGCTTTGTGACATAAGAGCAGAAAATGAGAACTAGAGCTCCAGGGCAGGCGTGTGGATGCTGGCCGAAGCTATTGCAACGCGGCACCAGCCCTGTGACCCTGCTTTCTAAAGCAGGGAGCGAACATCCGGGCTCCTGACGCCCTTGACAAAGTTAGCACTCCAAGTAGCCCTGTGCTTTGGCTGTACCTGCGTGCCGTCGCTCTCTGCTCAGGTCTCGCTCTTCCAGGGACCTTGTCTCGGAGCAGACTGGGGGCTGATTACGAAGCTTATGTGTGATGAAATCCTTCCAAGCTAGTAGTTCTAGCTTTTGCCTCTTTATTCCCTCCACTCTTAGGTGGTTCAGTTGTGGAAAGATATTATGAAACCACAAAGAAACTGGTGCAGGCTTGAGTGAGTAGAAAAGGGGCTGAAAATGCTGTTTCATGTTCTTGGTTGCATTTTGTGAATTTCCACTCAGAAATTCGGATACCTTTTGATTTATTGAAGTGCTGTATTCCCAAAAGCTAAAAGCACCAATTTAAAAATAAAATATATAAGACATAGGCATGTGTGTGTGTTTGCAAGCATACAATACAAATAGCCACTGTTTGCGAACGGACTGATTCTATCCCAAAGAGAATCTCAGAAGCCTTGAAGTGTTTATTCAGCAGCCAGCAGACTGTCCTGCCTCACCGTGTGTGGAAGAGGGGAGCAGCTCGGATGGGCTGCAGTTAGGGGCTTTTAAACTCACACAGCCAAGACAAAATATCCAATAAACTATAATTGGTGCAACATGATGAGGGGGAGCTGTCAGGAATTCTTGTCTTCTCAAGGTTGAACTCTTTCCTCCCAGGGTTGTAAAGACCTGTGCTTCGGCCTGGGCTGTCGGGAAACTTGGTAGCTGAGTGCTAATCCGAGGCTAACGGGACAGTCGACCACCTGCAACCCCACTGCCTGGCACACCAGGAGAAACGGTCACACTGTTTAACATGTTCTGTTTCCGTCTCCTGTCTGCTGTGGCCTCTGGCCCACCTGTAACCTCTCTGGGAGGCAGATTAGTCTAAGTACCGTGTATTATAAACTATCTGATGGGCAACTATTTACACGGACTAAGAGCTACATCCTGTTTAGAAGCCAGCAGCTGAAGCAAGCAAGCAAGCAAACAAGCAAGCACGATTTATACAAGTCAGTTTTGCAGTTGGCCAAGTTTTCACGCAGACAGTAGGTGCCTTTCTAATATTCTGGTTCCACATATGTATCCCTAAGTGCACTTGTCTATCTGCTTGCCCTGAAACTCTTGTAGACTTAGAGGGCCTGACGTAGCTGACTCCATTTTGAATTTTCAGGCTGTCATATCATCTGGGAGATGGTATCAACAATAAAAGCAGAATACCTCAGTTGCTAAAAGTAGGAGCTTCTATAACACACATGAAATATGTGTCTGTTCTTTGAAACCAAACACTTTGTTGGAGAGAAATGTGATGAAAAGAAAAAAAGGTTCTATAACCTTCCAAAGAAAATTGTTTCCTAAGAAGCTCAGGAGAATGGCATGTCTAGACTTTGATAAACAAAATCATTAAAGCTGTCTCTATTTTGAAGACATTCTTATAGTAAGAAGGCTTTGAAACATATTCAAACAGCTGCTTAAACTTCTTTTCAGAGAAAGCCCTAGCTATTACTTAGCGTAGAACATTATTCAACATCCTCGTCTTATACGCTGCTGCCTAAACTGAACCCTAGATCAAGCTGAGGTATTTGCTCCTTGATTCACAATTTCTGATGTCAAAACCATGTAAATGCATCAACAGAAGGCACTGCAGGATGCCGTTTCCAACCCCATGGGGGCCTGGGCTCAGGTGCGCACCAGTGTCCATCAGGCGTGTGACTGCAGGTGCCAGCCCCACCTCGGCTGTGAGGCCACCTATAGCCCTTCACCCCATCTGATTTCTGGATAAAGACAATTAGACTAGCAACTTCCACATTTTCTTGCAATCTTGTGATTCATATTTATGCAAACACAATACATTAGGGATTTTTCCTATTGACTATTTATTTTGGTGTTGCCACCAATCACATAGCAATTCACAGGAGCAGCTACAGACGACTCCTCACAAACTAGTAATGTGGACTTTAGTTCATGAACTGTGAGAAAGAAAGGACTTGAGAGCTGCAGGAGGCTGGAGGCTCGTGAGCTCACCTTGGCACGTTTACAGCAAGGAATGGAGGGCAAGCTGCGAGAAGCCAGAGAAGCTGCTCACACGGAATCTGACGACTATATGTAACATGGGTGAGTGGCCGAGGCAACGACATGGGCCAAGGGACAGCTGGATGGGGACTGCGTGCGTGAGCTCTGGGCTGCGGTTCACACCAAACGAGTCCTGTCTTCATCCGCGGTGATCAAAACCCGCCAGCCAGCTCAGAGTCAACCCATCCTCACCCTAGGCACGATGCTCTTCCTCCTTCCAACAACCGAACGTTCAGCGACCCAAGTGAGGATTTGTAAAGCATCAAGTGAACCGCGGCCCCTTCTGTGCCCCTGTCATCTTACAGGCTGGGCACGGACATCAGCATTTTATGACTTATATGCTCTCCATTGGCAGAGCAGCCTCATCAAATCCTCATTACATTCAGCTGGCTAAGTCACAGAGCAACACTAAAAACGTAAAGACATCACAATTGAGAAGACACTGGATGGGGCCAGGGACATAGGGCTGGTGGACAGTCAGGGAGCCTCCCTCAGGTGTCAGCGACCCAGGGCCAGAGTGGCACAGAGCGTGATTCCTCTGGCTGTGCCACTTCTGACAGCCTGGCAGGCAGTCTGGGAGAGACACATTTGTAAATTAAAGGTTTATCTCATTGTTATTTGGAAGAGTTACAGAGTGAAGGAGAAAAAATGCAGCTTAGAGAACAACAACCCTGGCTGTGCAGTTTTATACCTTGACCACAGTGACCCCACAAGAAGCAAGAAACAGGCTAGGGAAGCTGTGGGAACCTTGTGACTTGCTCCAGTGACTGACACCCATGCCTGGGACGGACGGGGTGACCCCACAGCGCTGCCCAGGCAGAGGGATGCCTCCTGGCCAGCTGCCGGCCTGCATGTCAGGTGACAGCACCCGGGTGGAAGACCTCACACCGAACACACTGCGAGGACACAGGAAATACAGCACAGGACCAAGAGCTTCCCAGAGGGGTCGGAGGCCTGGCCAGAAGCACAAGCCAGCACAGGCAGGGGCGCTGGGCTCTGGAGCTGCAGGTGGACTGGGGCTTGCATGGGTCTGCCAGGCACAGGGAGGGGCACCAGAACTCAGGGTGGACAGGGGCTGTGTGTGGGCCTGCCGGGCACAGGAGCTCAGGGTGAACAGGGGCTTGTGTGGGTCTGCCAGGCACAGGGAGGGGCACCAGAACTCAGGGTGGGCAGGGGCTGTGTGTGGGCCTTCCAGGCACAGGAGCTCAGGGTGGATGGGGGCTTGTGTGGGCCAGCCAGGTTGTCCATGTGCCTACAGGATGTCTGCAGAATGGGTGTGAGTCAGGGTGAAGGACACGGCAGGGCAGTCCCACGCACAACTGGCTCCCTGGAGCGGGAGGCTTGGGCTGAGGAGCTCAGGCGCTGGAAGAGAAACCAGCAACCAACTCACTCGCACTGCCCCCCACACCACGCTCCTGCCCAGCCCTCCTGCAGGGACTGTCCTGGTGCCAAGGTCGTTTGGAGTCCCCACAGCAGCAGAGTGGCTGCAATCACTCTCCTGTCCACTGCGCCCACAGGCAGAGCGGCCCTTCTGGGAGCCCTCGTGGGACCACACTCGCCTCCATGAAGCCACGGAGGCCTGTCCCGCGGAACACGGTCCCCCAGGACGTCTGTGCCTCCACCAGAGCTGGTCAGGTCCGGGAGGATTTTGCGGCATCGGAGCCTGCGGGCAGGGTCGCTCCGTGACGCGTGGCCGTCTGGCCCGCGCGCCAGTGTCGTGCCTGCCACTGTTCTCCCGCAAGGACAAGATCTCCGACCAGCCGTGTCCCGGCCGCAACAACTCGATTTATATAAGCAGTCTGGTCATTTAAGTTGATTGTATTTCAAAGGCTGAGGCAGAGAACACCCACGCCCCCGCTCGCTCCCAGACGGAACGCGGAGCGCAGCCGGGACTCGAACCCACGTACCGTCAAAGGCGCCACACAACCGCCCCTAAACCAGCTCAAACCACGAGACACCGCGAGAGCCGGCTCCGCCAGGAAACTATCGCGAGAAGTACTCCCGTGGCCGTCGGCGGCACATTGTTTTCTCGCGAGAACACGGGACGGCGTTCTTCCTGGTGAGGCCGGCGGGCGGCGTGGAGGCCGGACTTCTGGCGAGCCATGCCGTCCGCATTCTCCGTCAGCTCCTTCCCCGTCAGCATCCCCGCTGTGATCACGGTAACCCGCAGCCCCTCTGGCCGCCCAGGGGTGGGCGCGAGGGCCGCAGTGCTGCGGGGCGGACCCGGAGCTGCGGGCGCTGGACTGGGTGGGCGGGGCCAGCGGCCGTATTCGGGGCGTGGCTGTGGGTGGGCGGGGCCAGGCGGGAACCCGGGGCGTGGCTGTGGGTGGGCGGGGCCAGGCGGGAACCCGGGGCGGGGCTGATGGGCGGGGCCAGAATCGTGACCCTGCCCGGGGGCGGGGTGATGGGCGGGGCCAGGCAGCGATCCTGCCCGGGGGCGGAGCTGTGGGCTAGTGGGCGGGGTCAGGGTTGTGACCCTACCCGGGGCGATGGGTGTGGCCAGGGGCGGGACTGCGGGTGGGCTGGGGCAGGCAGCGGCCCTGGGCGGGACCTGGTGGCTGATGTGGACCAGGGGCGGAGTCGGAAGGTGAGCTGGCTCTGGGGGCGGGGTTTGGAGGTCCATGTGGGCGGGGCTGAGGCTTTGAGGTGTGGCTGTGGTGGGGCGCAGGGGGAGCGGGTCAGTTTGGTGGGTCTGAGTGAATGGGTGGGAGTGTCCCGGGTCTGCATTTATGCCCCGGCGCTGGGTTGCCAAGGCAGCTGGTCCCCTAGGCCAGCTTTGAGCTTGCCTGTCCAGCGGGCGCTCGGGGACAGCATGTTGGAGGGTCAGGTGTTGGGGAGTGGTCGGGGTGCTGTGGGAGGGTTGGAGCTGAGAGGAGGCGCTTGGGGATCCTGGACACAGACTAACAAATGCTTGTTTTGGTACAAGCGGCTGAACTTCTTTTTCGTCTCAGTGCATGAGACTCACTTTCAGGTAGGATTGGGTTTAGTCACCAGGTTGGCTGGGTTCCCCTCCCCACCCGTGTCTGTGTCCTGCAGCAGACAGACTGGACAGAGCCGTGGCTCTTGGGGCTCCTCCTCTTCCACCTGCTCTGCCTGCTGCTCACCTGCTGCTCCTCCCAGAGTTACAACCTGCAGATCGGGCATTTCCTGTGTCTGGGTGAGTCCCTGCGCCCGGGTGCTCCTGTGTCGGTCCCGCCTGCGATGTGCTGTGCTCTCACAGGCCTCCTGCTGCGCCTGAGATGAGTCTAGTTGGGTGTCAGGGCAGGCAGAGCCATGACCTGCGGGAATCTGCCATGTGCCTTCCTCCAGGGCTGGTGTGAAGTGCTGGCTCTGCCAGGAGGCGTTTGGCGTACTGAGTGCTGGCGGGCTTTGACCCAGGCTGTTTCCTCCTGCGCTGCCTGCTCTGGGAAGCCAAGCGTGAACATGAAAATTGCCCACACAGTGGGAACCAAGCTGTGTGAGGGGAAGACTTCCCAGAAGTTGAGGCGCAGCGCATGGGCTGTGACTGCGATCAGCCCGCTGCCCCAAGTGCACGCAGGGCGGCCGTGCTCATTGCTGTGGATTGTCAGAATGTGCACAGCAGTGTGGGTAAATGGTGCTGTGGAGCCAGAGCCCCACGGGACTCCCCCGTGTGCATGAACGCTCACGCCCTGATTTCGCTCTCATCTGCCATGGCAAGACCTAAGCAGGCAGAGGAGTGCAGGGAGGCGTGATGAGGCCTGATGGACATGGCGCGGTGCCCCTTATGCGGGGGTCAAGGGTATGCAGCAGTCGGCCAGGCCGTGTCTGAGGCCTGGGGTGCACACACCAAGCCTGGAGTCCTGTGTGCCAAGGCTGCTGGGAGCCCCAAGAGTGGGTGAGACAATCCCGCCGCACCGTCTCATTGGTTTAGCCCTGCCTAGGCCACCCCAGGTGAGACTGGACCTTCAGCTGGTTCACAGCAAACTCACATCTGTGGTCTGGGTCATGTTACAGCCTCATCACGTGAGCTGATGTGTGTGGGACCTGCTGTGCCACATGGGTGAAGGACGACTGCCCACAGTACACTGCTGGCCACTGGGCTGTGTCCCGTGCTCAGCCCCTGAGCTGAGTCTCATTCAGGGCTTCTGCAGTGTGTAAAGACAGAGCAGCGTGATGCCCCTGGGGCGGGCCTCTGTGCCTCCTCTTACTGAGTACCCCTTAGCTGCCTGACCCCACTGAAAGGGCTAATTGTACAGGTGCCTGTACTCCTGGAAGTCTGGAATCTCCAGAGAGACACCTGCATCCTGGTAGGAGCAAAGCTCCTGCTTCCTGAAGCACCAGGAGGCAGGCAGGAGATAGGGAGAACCTTGCAGTTTGAGGATTTATGGGAAAGACAGTTCCCTCCGAGGCATGCTGTTTTATTACTGTCTGCATTACAGTGATATGATCAGGACCCCCAAGCCTATACCCTGTAAATTCCTGTCGCATGCTTTCTGTTTTGTGTCACTGTTAGCCCCTAATCATGTACTTGCTCACTGTCACGTAGCTTTTGATTCTCTTACTATGAAAAACCCACAATTATTTTGTTCAGGGCACTTCTTGCTTATGGCAAGAGGTTGCCTCTTGGATAGAAATTAAAGTCATCTCACTTGCCTTGGAGTCTTGCTCAGGTTCATTGAACCCCAGCACCCCACTGCCTGCTCCCAGGAACCTCTGGGTCAGGAAGACTGCACGTTTTCCCGTCCTGATTTAGCTGACAGATGAACACCAGTGGTTGAAGCTCGCGCTGCCCCAGTCCACAGTGCTGGGCCTTCGTCCTCACTGGAGATGTGGGGTGATTCGCTCCCGTGGCCTGGGAACTGGGGTTGATGGGGTGCTGTGAAGCATGCATGTTCTGTTCTGGAAAGGCTAACTCGGGGTTTCTTTTTGCAGTGATCCTGGTCTACTGTGCCGAGTACATCAATGAAGTGGCGGCGATGAACTGGAGGTAAGGTCACGTTCTTGCCCTGCGGCCGGGGGAGCAGCTGAGGATGGCGCAGGCCTGAGCCGGCCAGAGCGCTGGGTCTGTCCCTCAGGACGGTCCCTGGCCCGTGCCTGTGTGAGGCCTGGATTATGCAGTGCCTGGGTATCTCCTGCTTCCCTGGCCCCTCAGTCATCCAAGATGTTCATGAGTGTTCCAGACCATTGGAGCAGAAGCAGAGCCATGCACTGAGGCCCACAGCCCTGGGTTCTGGTACCTGTGACCTTCTGTGGCCACCTCTTCTGTGGTCTCAATTTTCCTTGTGCCTCCTGTGAGGGTCAGAAGGCTTCCTGCGTCCTTACACCCTCCTCCCGACTGGCTTTCTGAAGCTGCTCACTCCTCCCTACACCCACACACCCTCCTCCCTGCACCCATTGTTTGGCCATTTGTAAAGCCCTGGGGTCGTCCCTCAGTGGTCTTGATCATGCAGCCCATGATGGGTGTCAGATGTGCCAGCTCCCAGCCAACACATCGCTGTTCATCTTCCCTGCCTCACTGCTTGGAGGAGACTCTATTTTTATGCCAAATATGGTTGTTTTTCTTCAAACAGGTTATTTTCCAAGTACCAGTACTTCGATTCCAGGGGCATGTTCATCTCGGTGGTGTTCTCTGCGCCGTTGCTGCTCAACGCCATGATCATCGTGGTACGTACCCTCACCTCACAACCGGCTCGCCTTGCTTCCTGTTAATGCGTCCCACTGTGACCCACCATGGCTGCTGTTTCCAGGTCCTGTGGGTCCGGAAGACTCTGAGTGTGATGGCCGACCTGAGGTGCTTGCGCGAGAGGAGGAGGAGGAAGGTGGAATGAGGTGCGAGGAGGAGGAAAGGTTGAGGTGTGAGAGGAGGAGGGAGGAGGGCCTGAGGTGTGAGAGGAGGAGGAAGAGGAGGAGGGCCTGAGGTGTGAGAGGAGGAGGAAGAGGAGGAGGGCCTGAGGTGTGAGAGGAGGAGGAAGAGGAGGAGGGGGAAATGGGGTGATTCCCTGCCTCTTGCCTGTCCTGTCTGCTTTAGCATCGTGGCCGTTGGGGCAGTTCCCTCTGGTTTAGACTGATTTCCTCTGACTCACAGGCATCTTGTGTGATTTTATTCACAGGAAGTGCTCCGCTGATAGGAGCCAGGAATGCCAAATGGCCGACAGCAGCCTGGGCACCATCCCATGTCCTGTGATCCCCCAAGGACCAGGCACCATGTGGTTAATGGGGCGCAAGGCCCCTCTTGCCCACCGGGTTCCTAACCACCACCTCCAGCGACTCCTGATAGGTCCAATGACCTATGTCAATTTATGGTTAGTTATCGTCAGCATCACGGGCTTTTTCCATTAAGCAAATTGTTCTTTAATTAAAAAATATGCAGATGAATGCATCTAGATTTAAAAGACTGGAAGTTGACAGTTTTACTGGAATATAAAATTTCCTTGAAGTCCACATTTGTCATATTTCATAGTTTGATGTAATTTTAAGCTCTTGGTAGAGAAACTGTTTCTTGGTTTTGACAAGGAGTTGCACAATGGAACCTTCTGGAAGAACCCAGTGGAGCCTGTCTGTGGCTGGAATTCTCCATTCCTGTCTTGCTTGGTTGGTTTTTCATTAAACGCAGAAAGTGCTATGGAAGCAACATCCTGTACTTGTTAAACTGAATGACCTGTCCCACCGTGGCTCTCGCACCTCAGGTCACGCAAAAGTGCAGGTCCGTGGGAGTCCTGCCCGCACACTGGTTTCAGAGAAGTGGAAACGCCAGAGCTCAGCGTGGCACAGAGGCAGCAGCTGGGTGGTGCTGCATCCTCACCCTCCGTGCACTGTGTTTGTGGGCCACACGCCGGACCTTGTGACTGACCTGTGGTTTCCTGTGGAGATGTGGGATGTGTTGGTCGTTGTGCCCAGTCCAGTGTTAGCCTTTCCAGGCGCCACGCTGTGCACTGGGCACGTACGATTTTCATTCTGTGAAATGCTTTGGAGCAGTTACTGTGTTCGCTGTTTTTTAATTTAAATGAAGGCAGGGATGGATGTTGTGGTAGGTGGATTCAGCCACACCTTGGCACCTGGCATCCCATATTGGAATGCTTGATCAGGTTCTGGTTTGCCTGGGAAGCAGCAGATGGTGCCCAGATGCCCATGGAGCTCTGGGTGGATCCCGTGGCCTCACTGTGCAGGCCCAGGAAGTGAGCTAGCCACTCTACATTTCAAATAAACAGACCTTTCAGTTCACATGTTGGTGGCTTCGGTTGCATTCTTAACAGACCTCTGACTATCTTGAAATTCACTGATTGTACACATGGGCCCCACTTCAGTTTGAACATGTGTGAAATGCAAGGTTAAAAACAAAAGCTTGATAAAATATGGGCACAGCACGATAGCATAGCACCTAAGTCCTCGCCTTGAATGTGCTAGGTTCCCATATGGGTGCCAGTTCTAATCCTGGTGGCCCCACTTCCCATCCAGCTCCCTGTCTGTGGTCTGGGAAAGCCTCTGGACCCTGCACCAGTGTGGGAGACCCGAAAGAAGCTCCTGGCTTCAGATCAGCTCAGGTCCACCGTTGCGGCCACTTGGGGAGTGAACCATCGGATAAAGATCTTCCTCTCTGTATGTCTGCCTTTCTGATAAAAAAAATAAAAATTTTTTAAAGTATGTCCATGAAAGCAAAAGGGCTCTGAGGGATCTTCTGATAGACTTAACACCAGCGCTTTTAGAGTGTTTCTTAGCTAAGTAGAGGAAGGAGATTCATGATTCAGAACAAGGTGTTTCCATGGTCCAGACCTGGGACGTGCAGGTTGTTGGCTGCTGGCTGTGGAGCACCTCCCTGGGTGTGTGCTGTGTGGTGGTCACCCTGTGATGTTACACAGTGACTACCATGCACACCCTGCTCGAGCTGTGAGCCATGGGATGCGCCTCCAAGGTGTGCTGTGTGGTGGTCACCCTGTCACGTTACACAGTGATTGCCATGTGAACCCTTTTGAGTACCTGCACTACCATCCCAGCTCAGGCTGCCAGGGTCCCCCAGCATCTGCAGGGTAACCAGGACTGGGTGTGGCCCCAGTGGAGCCATCTTGTGGCTACAGAGTCGGGGCAAGACACCTGGTGTTGGGAGAGAATGTTCCAGCTCTACTCCTGTTTCCACTCCCTGTTATTCATGCTGTATTATCTAATGTACAGTTTAGTTTCTAAAATTGTTCAGCAGAAATTGTAAACATTTTGTTTCCTTGGTATAATTTAAGTTGCTAATTGTAATTTGTCTCACATTGATAGCAGGTTTGGGACCTTTGGGTAACTGATCATGCACAAATGTTGTTCATAGAGTGCCAGGCTAAGGGTTCTAAAGTTTGCATTTAGAAAACATCTAATTTTTAACTGAAAAAAATTACTCTAGAGGATCTGTAACAGGAGCTGATTATCCATTGCTTTGGTGGACTCTGTTAAAACAAGTGAGAGAACAAATTGGGCAAGTAACAGCAGTATTTTAAAGTCAATGTTAGAAGCTAAATGGCCCACAGCCCTGCCCTCCTAAGGGGTACAAGGGTGGAGTTGACAAAGAGAAAAAGAGTGTTTAAACTGGCTTCTCCTGGAAATCACAGCCACACGGAGTAAAGGGTTTAGCCAAGAAAGAGGGACAGGGATAGGAAGTGCAGTGGTGGTGGCTGCTGGGGAGACGGAAGGAGCTGGAGAATTCCCTGAGGCTGCTGGGCCCTCCTGGGTGGATACCTGCAGTGTGGCAGTGCCTGTGGGGATGCCTGAGGCTCCAGGTAGGGAGGTGTGGTGGTGTGACACCCAGGTGTGAGCCAGTTTCCTCAGCCGTCTGACCTCTTGTTCTTCCTCTAAGATAGCTTTTGGAAGCTCCCCATCTTTCTTGAGTTGATGGCGGAGCACTGCTCCACTCCTGAGCTCGGGAGCCTCAGGTCCTTGGAGTGAGCTCTGTTCTTCTGTCTTGGTTTCCAAGTGTCTTGAAGCTTGTGTTGGGGAAATAGTTCATACACGTTTTTATCTTTGCCCTTTAAAGCCGTTTTTCCACAGATGCTTTGGATTTTCCTCCTCTAAGTTGGTAAGCACCACTAACTTGATGTTCAGAAAGTGTACACAGATGTTGTACACACTTCCTGTAGCCCTTGCAGCATTGAAAACAGTTTTCTGGTTGATAGGTGGAACATTGAGCTCCATGTTGCAGCCCCTCGGCTACTCGTGAGGTTTAATGTTTTCTAATTATTATTGGTGTCTTACATTTTTGTATTAATTCATACATATTTCCTTGCAGTATAGCAATTTAAAATCATATTTCAACTTCTGCATGTTAAAATGAGGTTTCCGGTCTGGTTAGATTTGACCTTGGAGCCAGAGCTGTGACACAGCCTGTAGTGCCAGCATCCCGGATGGGCACAGGCTTGAGTCCTGGCTGCTCCTCTTCTGATGAAGCTCCCTGCTAAGGAGTGGAAGACAGTGCTTGGGAAGGCCTGGAAGAAGGTCCTGGCCCCTGGTTGTGGTTTGGCTGGGCCTAGGTTATTGTGGTTATCTGAACTGAACCAAAAGGTGGAAGATGTTACCAGAAAAGCCCGGTGGATTCTTTCCTCAGCTTAACATAGAAATAAAAAAGTCAGGAATCAGTTGCAGACAGACATTTTATTTGTAAAGTGACCAGGTGAGCAGGGAAAGAGGGAAGGGGAAAGTCCAGAGAGAGCGTTGCAAGGTGGGTGCCTTTGGAAGGAGAGACACCAAAGGTCGGAGGAAGCATCTTGGAACTTGAAGCCTGACCCCTGCTGCTGGCCGTGACCTACAGGTAAAAGATGCCCCAGTGGTGGTCTGTTAGCCAGTTAGGAAACGGGTGGGCCATCCTTGTGCCGCCCACCTGAAGGTGTGGCTACGATTTCAGCAGGCTTGGACTGTCTCAGTTCTCTTTCAGTCTACTCTCTGTGTAATTCTGCCTTTCAAATAAATAAATCGTTTTTTTTTTTTAAAGTTTTAACACTTGGCGAAGTCCCTGTTCTTTCCAAGTCACTGTCCTGAGCAGTGAGGGGCTGGGCTCTGTGCCCTGCTCAGCTGAGAAGTGAGCATCCTGCCTTTCCGTGCACTGGCAGAGGGGCAGTGGTAATGGCAAAGTTGGCTCACAGGCCACCGCGCAAGTGTGGCTGGGCCAAGCACCTCCCACTCCACTCATGACGCCCACAGTGTACACACATGCCCACTGAAGTGCACACACCCAGCAATACTCAACTCAGCAACACATGCACACCCTTTAATTCACACATACACACACACATTTCAGTGACACACACATCCAGAGATTTGCCCATGGCTAGTGACACATGCACACCCAGCGAGACACATGCCAACAGCACACATACACAATGATACACATGCATATACAGCCGTGCCACACACAAACAGTAATACAGACACACATGCAGCCAGCATGCATACACACACAGATGCCCACACAGCGATATAGTAACACGCAAAGTGATACGCACACACAGCTGTGACACAAACAGTATTCTAGACACATGCAGTCAGCATACATACATACACATACATAGTGATGCACACACAGTGGTATGAACGGCCAGCAACACGTACACACATACAGTGATACACACCACACAAACAGCATGCCACACACACACACACACACACTCGCCCAGTGACACACATGGCCTCCACCAGCTTCCAGGACCACCTATACAATCCCAGAGTTCCTGTTGATAATTTGCTAAAATTTGTGGTTTGTTTATTTGCAAATGTATTCAAGCTGGGCAGTCTGCACTTTAAAAGACCAGTGTGATCATTATTAAATCAATAGTGTAGTTTAGGTAATCTACATTTTGATGAAACCTTCAGCCTCCGGTTTATGAAAGTGTACGTGGTATACAGTGTTATGAATTCTGGATTTCAAGTATGCTTGGCACTCTACTTTGCTCCTCTGCCAGATATGTGGCCTTGGCCAGTCAGCAGGTGTACGTGAGGGGCAGGAGATCCAGAGCAGACAGGGACTCCAGAAGCAAGACAGAGTGAAAGTGAAAACCCAGGCTGGGCAGATTCAGGTTCCCACTGCTTCAGACAGTTGAGCACTTTGCCTTCCCGCCCCCCCCCCCATGACCTGGGTTTCCATAATGAAGCTACGCACACTGAGGTGGAGTTGTGCATATTAACACATCTTCATGCAGCCACCATGTGACTGGGAAGACGCTACAGGGACAACCCTGGACAGTCACAGTGCAGCCTTGCCCCCACATGGCCCACCACAGTGTCCAGGAGCTGCGTGAGGGGGGAGTTTCAGGCTCCCAAAGCCCTGACGCTCCTTGGAGGAGTTCTGGGAAACTGCCTCCTCATCACTTGGATGAGCTGGGAATTCAATTGTAGCACAACCTCTGGCTTTCCCTGAACCTGTTTCCCCTGTGAAAGCCATGTGGTCATATTTGCCACTCTTGCTGCATCCCCTGTTGTGATCACAAGGCACCCCATGGCCACACTGGCCCAGCCTGTGTATGAGCTGTCTCTGGGAGCCCCTTTGGAGGGTAGAGGCCGTGTCTGGACGAGAGCTGGCCTATTGCGCACAGCCAGCCACCTGAGCTGTATGTGGACACCTGGAGGCCTGGGTGCAGCAATGCAGAGCACATATACAACTGCACCTCCAGGGGGCGCCCACGTACCATGTCACCTAAGCCATACGGCCAGAGTTGGCCTGGCCACCTACTGAATGAACTGCGTGGTCTTTCTAACTGAGCTCAGTCAGCTGGAATATGGGGGTGGGGAGGTGGGGGCAGCACCTGGGGTCAGCAGTGTGTGGGTGCCTTGAGTCACTGCGTAGCAGGCTAACGTCCAGAATGTGTAGGATCAGCTTTAATGTGGCCACAAGCAACTGCAGCTGCAGACATAGGCACATGTGTGCAGGCACCTGGGTTCACCTTTCTGTCGGGTATGCTCACACGTTCCTAGGCTGGGGGTCTGCCCTGGGCTCTAGGACAGGCACTGTAGTTGCTCCCTCCTGTGCAGGGCACAGCTGCCCAGCCTGCCCAGGATCTCAGGGTGTAGTCAGCTGGCCCCATCCCAGTGTGTGTGTGTGTGTCTTGTCCATCGTCTTCCCGTGGCTTCCCTTGACAAAGCAGGAGCTCTGGGTCAGGATCGAGCTGCCTGTGTCTTGGGGACGGAGGAAGCTAATGTAAGGGAAGACCCTCTGCAGGGCATGACAATGGCTCTGGCACCTTTAGACGCAAGGGTCTGGA